CGGCGGGAGCGCCAAGCCGAAGAGGCCCAAGGAGAAGCGGGACAAGGAGAGGAGGAAGCATGGGGCCCTGCCCGTGGTCGCGGCGGTGGGAGATGGCGGCGGGGCCCTGAGTGCAGCAGCCCGGGAGGAGAACGGGGAGGTGAAGCTGCAGCTGCCGAAAGGTGAGGGGCGGGCGTTGTGGCTGTGCGCGGCCCGGGGGGATCGCTCGCTGCCCGCAGCCCGAGGGACGGGAAGGGAGGGCTAGGAGGGGGGTGCTGAGGGCTGGAGGAGGTCTGGACGGGGCAGCGAGCCTGGGCTGGGCAGGATGGGTATGGTGCTGTACGTGAAGGTGCCCGGAGCTGCTGTAGCTGCCGTGAGGGAGCAGGAAATGGTTGTGATGCTGGGGTCGAGCCGTTAGAATGGCTGCCTGCCCCCGCCTTGCCTCAGCACGCTGGCCCCGGGACAGTGCCGCTTCAGGGGGCCTTACCTGTCCGCCCCCTCCGCCCTGCCCTCGGCAGAGCCGGGATAGCTGGGCTTGTGGGCCGCCTGCTAGACCCCGAAAGGAGACCGTTGGCGTTGTGTAAGTTTGTGGAGAAGGCAGTGGCGGCTTAGTCTGCCGTCAATCCTGTCAAAAAAGGGGGTGTGGAATTAGCGATGGCGTCAGCTAGAAGCTGCCAGAGGCCTTAGGTTTTCTTACCTATTAGGGAAATAAGGGTGCCTAGTAATTTACTAGAGATCTGCGAATAAAACTAAATTTCTGGCATTGTTGTGTATGTGTGTGAAATAGCGAAGGCTATATGTTATAAAACCCCACCAATTTAAAAATTAAATCTGAATGGTCTCGTTTATTAGGTTATTATTTTTTTACAGGCTAAGTCATCGAGTTCTAGAGAGTATGCAGTTAAAATTTAGATACTTAGACTTTTGAAATCACATTTAGTTGTTGCTTTAGGTTTGCTTTATTTCCTTAAGTCATTGGGCTAATATCTTCCGGGAAATGCTAGAGGCCTTCAGGAGAAGGGGAGGAGTGCTGGGTTAGTTTATTAATGGGGCTGGACAAAAACGGCCCTACCAGGTAAGACAAGATATTAGGCTAAATTCTTGCTTAGATTCTTGCTGACTGTGATCAACAGTAGATGTGTAGGAAGTAAAAGACAATGCATGAATATATGAAGACAAATACAAGAATATATGCTTTTATTTCCAGTGTATGTTTTCCCAGTCTCTGGTGACCTTACACTAGATGTTGATGCTTTCACATTTACATTGAAATAATGGAGAGCTTGAAACATTCAGTCCATTATCTACTTTAAGCAAGTTTCCTTTCTTTCAAAGGAAGGATAAATTATAGCTGTTCTGTAGGCGTATAGTACCTTGATTGTGGTCTATACATGTACTTAAAGGATAAGCCAAGCTCCTAGAGAACCATTATTAATGTCAATATGCCTTTTTGTGTATTGATTACATAGTGTGTCTGCCTTGCTACATTTTCCGCTAATTTCCACTAGTATCTTAGTGTCTGATTCACTTACCTTTGAGTAATTTTTTTTTTTAATAATTCTTTTTGGTCAGCATGTTGCATGTGTCATACTGGTTTTGGGATCTTGATCGCTGGTGTATAAGCGAGCTTTAAGTATGTGATTTCGGTGCTTTGAAGTATTTGATTTTAGATTTTTTTTTTCTTGTTCCTGTACAAAAGGTGACTTAGGAAAAGTCTTCAGAAATGATATTCAGTACACGTTTGTTGGTGAAGCTTCCTTGTCTTCAAGGATAGACACTAAGAAACTCGACCAGTATCTTTCTAGCAAAGCTATGGAGTTTCACTCAGGTTGTCACAATGTCCTACCAGTGTTAAACAATCATGTTAATAAATCTGAGAACAATATTACAATAATAGGATGAAATGTTTTTTGCACATTGGTAAAAGAAATTATGATACCATGATGGTGTGAACTGAATAATTGTTAATGGAACACTCTTGCAAGCAGTGATTTGTCTTTAAAGAGGAGATTCTGTACCTTGTATCTGGAAAGGATATTTTCTCGGAACTTATACACTGATGGGCACAAGTACTTGGCTTTTTAGTTGCTGTTTGCTCAGAACAGATCTTTTTGCTGCTTGAAAACCTAGGTACAGGCAACAAATTTTCCAAGGCAAATGATGCCTGTTTGGCATCTGAGTCTCCAGATTTCTGTTTAGATGAAGTGGTTTCTATAACTAGAAATTTGTGGTGTAGTTTCCTATATAAATGAAAAACATTATAGTCATTAAACTGTGTATTTCTGCAGAGAAGTCTGTAAGAAAGTGAGGGATACACTGAGTCTTCTGCTCACAGCAGCCAGCCTTTTAAAAGTGGTTTTGTATTTGACTAGATTACAGAACAGGTTTGTGCTGTTAATCTTGTGAATAATTTACTTTTTAGAGAGGGAAGAAGAAATGCAGTTATGGTGCAGCAAGAAAAGAATGACTGCGGAAGGCATGTAGAATCCTAAGTACAGAGGAAGACTAAGAATGGTATATTAGGGTAGGAGGGTGCAATATGCAGGACTTGTGCATTAGGATTTGTGGGACTGTGGCATAGACTAGAAGAAGATACTGTAGGGACTCGTTGCAGCAGGGAATGAGGGAATTTGAGATATTGACATGAAAGAGAGGAAATGGAACACAAAAGCTGCGTAAGGGAGTTGATTCTGATCTTGTTTTGGGGCAAAAGACATACGCAGGTGCCGTAGCAAAGGCAAGGGAGCTTAGAGGAAGGGTTAGGATAGAAGGAGTGTGAAAAATTTAAGCAGCCTACAGATAAGCATCAGGGTGAATTTAGAGGATTTTGTATAATAACAAAAAACAGACTCGCACACATACAATGTATGGTGGAAAGAAGGAATAAAATATGCCCTTTTAGGTATAATGAGATGAGTTCATAGAAGCTGTCACATCTACAGCTGGTAATACTTTCTAAAAGTCAACCTCATGTAGGCAAGTGCAGTTTCCTTTTCCTCAAGTCTGCAGTTAAACAAGCTTTTTGCTTTTGGTGCTATGGAAAATGAGCAGCCACGTGGAATTGACAGTATGGATTGTTTTTCTCTCACAGCGTTCAGAACTGATATGCATATCTGGATTGAACCTGTCAGAGAGAAAATGGTGCAGATAAGGAGACTAGAGGTGTTGAAATCTCTAAAGGAGGCAAAATTACCAAAAGATAAGCAGGTGGAACGGGTGAGATCTCCTTGATGGTTTTGAGGCACTGAAGATGGAAAAGCTCCATCCTCCTCTTCACAGCCAAAGTGGAGATGCATTGCATGTGGGTACATGGAGTGGAGTGGAATTCCCCGTTGAACTTCGTACTGATAAGGTGCTAGTATCTGTGAATTGGGAGGAGTCATGTTTCTAATTAGTGGGTTGTGTTCGTACTCTGCTACATATAGCAGTTAGGATGCTAGGAGAAAGGCTTTACCTTGGTGAGAGAGAGGGAGGGCCTGCGCAGACCATAGCACTGGAGAAAATGAGGAATGAAGCTAGGGGCATCAGGAGGAAGAAAGTCAAAATTTGTCTTCTGGGATTGCTGAGACTGGTGTAGACAAGATAATACAGGAAATCACGGTGTGCAGTGGTGTGGAGTAAACGAATGTGAAATCTGGACTTGAAAAACTGTCATTTTAAGATTCTGAGTAGTACCAGTAGCATTTTTCTGTTTCCGGTTTAATTACTGTGATAATGGTAAGGGATATTGATACTGAGGAGGAAATCGTGAGAAGACCTTTTTCACCTACCATCCAAAAAAAGCTGTTTATAGGAGCTGATATTTGTCCTTTGTTTGCAATAATGATTGCTAGGTAAGAGACCCTAGTTTTGAAGTACTACTTTACTAAGTGATAGGAAGATCTTAAGGTTGTTTGTAGCCAAGATGGATGATCTGTTTTAAAGCTCTTGAAAATGTTTGTATTTTCTTCCTTGAACAGTCTTCATTTACAGATCTCACTGGTCTCCTAATTCATTGGAAAGACTTTTAACTTGCAGAGTCATAACCATCATAACCAGGCCTTAGAGATTGTGTTTCAATTAAATAAGCTAAGTGAACCCTTCTGCGATGATGATCCTGTATGCAGAGAACCTGTAAGAACGTTTTACCATATACACGATTTATCCTGTAGCGCATATCAGGCTGTTTAAAATAAGTTTAAATTTCACTTGTCAAGTACATTCTGATAGTGGAATTAGAAGTTGTGTAACTATTTCTGTTGTTTTAAAACATGGTGTGAGTCTGACAGAAGTAATTGCTGTTCTAGTTTATGACTATACTGATTCAGTTAGTCATTTAACTGATACTCTGCTCTAGCAGTTCGTAGTTGAAATTGGTTTTCTTAACAGTGCAAAGCTCAGCTCAGCCACTACTCACTTCATCAGATGCCTGCCCAAAATTTTTTGCTTTGGTCTATAGACTTGCTGTAAAGTGCAGTCTAGATGCATGAGACATCTTTTCTTTTTTCTTGCTATTTCTGTGTACAATTTTGCTTTCCCTCTGCTTTTTGTCTTCAGTGATGTATTTGATAAGGTTACCTTAGTGTGCAAGCAATTAAAAAATGAGACTGGTATTTTCAGCTTGCAGATGAGGGTTCCGAATAATGAGCAAGAATGCTGAATGTGGTACTGTAGCTCTTGTTTTTACTTAAAGTGGTTTTCTTTTTTTTTTTCCTCTGGCTGTCTTGTCTTGTGATGTCTTTGAATGATAGATTAGACTTCAGGTGGGCATTTACCAGTGATTATTCTAGTAACTGTTGCTTTGGGTTGCATGGTGCTTCTGAGTTTTAAACTTTCAAGAAATGGTACTTTTCAGGCTTGTTAAATTCAGTTTGCATCTGCAGGGATGCTTATTTCATAGTCTGACTTGCTGAAGTAGGTTGGAGAAAGCTTTGGATCGTTTCTTTTCCCCTTCTTTAGAGTTGAGACCGTGCATCTTGCTAATTAGATTGTCTTTTTTTCTTCTGCTAAACATTTCCTTCATCTGTTTACTTCTATTTCCTTTGCTTTTTTTTTTTGTCCTGTGTGACTTGACTCACTTCTTCCTTCTCCCTGCCAAGCTCCTTAAATTCAGCAGTCATTTTCATGCTTGTGAGACCTCTCAGTCACTCTCTAGAGAATTCTTTAATATATCTCTATTTAGATATCCCCTCTGTAACTGCAA